GTGGGTTTGAACTGCTAACAGTCCAGTGCTTATCCTACAGCACCACACTAGTAGTTTTATTCTGAAGTCATCTCCTTAGCACAACTACAAATTATCCTCACCTCTTGGAACCATAAGACAATCTCTACCCAATTCCCCACACAGAAAACTACAGGCAGGTCTTACTGTCTTTTGTGCAATCTAATTCCCTGAAGTTGATTCTTGGATTTTTTTTCAGACGTCAGTCAAGCTAGTTAGAAAATTTAGAAATAACATAGACAGGATATGGCTCATTGAAAAAGGAATAGATTAATTTGATGTATTCTCTTTGGAATTTTACAGGATTATGTCCAGATACCATCCTTCCTGTTGCATGTAAGTGGGATCAGGTTACAAATCAGCAAGATTACTAAAAGCTTCCAGAAATCAAATATGTGCAGTTTAGTTCATAGTATTGTAATATGGTTAATGTTCTGGTTTTGAAATCAGACTATGATTATGTAAGATGTTTTTGATGGAGAAATCTGGCTGTAAGGTTAGGCGGCTTTGTACTTTATTTGTAACTTCTTTGGAGTCTTAACTTATTTCAAAATATTAAGTTTAGCAAAAGTATCCAGCAACTAGGCATATCCACCAGAGGTAGCTACCAATAGTTACTATAAGCAATGCAATTAATTGTGACAGATAAGGCTAAATGCTAGAAATCAAATCACCATTAGTTATTCCAGTCCCTTTCCTCTCAATTCAGTATATCTAGATATTTACCAAGTGGAAAAGACATTTATCTGTTGCTATAAAAATAATGTTACATTTCAATTCAGGATTTTCCAGCATAGGTCAAAATCTATATCTTCAAGAAAGATTTAAGGGTCTACCATATGCAATGCTAGATGTCAGTAGTCTTACTGGAAACAAACAAAAAAGACTAAGGTGTCAAATTCTGGGCCTGTGATTTCAATTTAGGAGCAAAGACAATAGTCATATATTAGGATAATCTGAACTCTAATTTTCTTCCTTGTTTTTAGTTTGAGGCAAGACAAATGTTGTTCTATTTTAGCAAACTTCCCTGTAACATCTTCGTTTCTCTCATCCTTTTAAACATTTACACATTCCCCCTCTTTTGTTCTTGTTTACACAAAACACATGGATTAGACCCACATCATGGCTTTCTTGTGGGAACTTTGGATGGAACTAGAAAAACAAATGTGTCCAGCATGTCACATAACTCTTTCTGCAGATATCAAACAAGATTTAGTCCTGTCTGACTTAAACCTATGGTTTCAATATTTGCTCGAGGCCACTGTGGTCATAGCAATGATGTGCCCAGAAAAAAACTCTTGGAAATAGGTTTTCTTAACAGAGGTAAAAGAAGGAAACACTAAGTTTCATAAACTTTCATAAATTCCCCATCTCTAGGTCTTTGTTTCTAAAGCAAATCTTGGTAAACCAAGGCTAGTTAAAGCAGAGTTGATTTCTTCTTAACCACCACTACTTCCAGCACTTGAAGTGGCCTAGAATACCCAGGTGCTCAACCTGCCTTTAGAACTCATTTCCTCTGAAAATATCATTCCCTGGTGGTTGTGTATGGACTTTCCCTTTCTTAAAACTCTGAAAAGCTTCCTTCTCTTTCATAGACTCTTCCTGACTTTTCACTTCTCTGCAAATATTTTTATAATATCCACCATCAAGAATTTCTTCTGTCTCCATTCATATTTATCCTTCATCTTCAAAACACTTACTTTTCTACCCTCTCTCAGATCTCTCCGTCATGCTTCAGAATGGATTCCCAACAACTCCAGCTGGTCCTCTTTCTACTTTGCTTGGCCTCCCCTGCGTCCTTCTCATACATTCTCCATTAGTTCTTTGATGTAGCCTCTTTCAAGTCCCTACCCCTTCAGTCTTATATACTTTCATTTATTTGTCTTTTCATTTCACTTGCATGCAATGTTCTGTATACAGTCTTGTATGCCTAAAGGTAATTATCCCACATTTTACTCTTCTAGATCTTTTGTGTTCACATATATATACGGACAGCTCATCAATATTTGGACCTAGATATCACCTCATTGGAGTCCTGGTGTGGCACTGTGGGTTAATAAGCTGGAATGCAAAGCCAGTTTGAACCGCAAGTTTCAAAGCTCACCAGCCACTCCTAGGAAACCCTGTAAAGGGTTGTTCTGAGTCAGAACTAACTCGATGGCACAGACACATGTCATCCCATTGGCCAGAAAATTATAATTTTATATCTGACAGTCCCCAAACACAGTCTGTGTGAAAACCAAGAAGCATTTCACATATATCATGAAGCCAATAATATATTACAAAGTTAACAAGGTCCCAAAGTTTTCCTTTTCCTACCTCTTTTTCCAAATAATTCTTAACTTCTGAGCTACTTTTAAATTCTCTATACTAAGTTCTGTTGGGTCTCTTAGATTTGTGTTATTAAACATTATAGGAATGAGTAGGCTACAAGTTAAACCTGTCTGTAATGTTAGAAGTTGAAGCCTTTCTCATCTCAGAAAAGGATGATTTCGTAAGATAATTCATATTTTCTAGTCACCCAAAACAGAATACTTGTGTGACTTAAGGCCAAGGAAATAAAATATACTATGTCAATTTTAAATGTGATTTTTTAAAAAAAGAAAAAAGATCAGATCCTGGAGTGCAGTGAATACAAAAAAAAGAAGAAGAAAGAAGTGGGGAGATGGTAGGTAAAGGAAGAGAACACGATATGATTTTCTCTTGCCACTTAGGAAGTCATGGCATGGTCTGGATTCACACTATCAGAAGCATATGGATAAAGGAGAACTGGCTGCAAGGCCTGGTTTCAATTCCCGTTCATTTTAATGACTTTAACACTTATCTTGTTATCAAGTTACAAGAGAACCTGCCAGACCCTACATATTATCAAATGCCATATGTATGTGAAAGTATAAAGCACGATATAAATGGCAGGTGTTACTATTACAGTGACTTCCCACATGATCTCTTTTGCTGACCCATGACCACATATTTCAAGGCAGGAGATGACCAGATAACTGAATCCACATTTGTCCAGTGAGTACTTAAACATATCAGAGTTAGAAGAGACTTCAAGACTGTCTAATCTGATTTTACATTTTATGGCTAAGGAAACAAAAGCCCAATGAGGCAACATTGCTTCCCCATGATGACACACTTGACCTGAGGCAGAAATAGGATTGAAACTTCCAAACTGATGATTTCTCCAAGGTTAGGTCAGAAATAAAGCCCAGCGTCACAGGACCTAGTAGAGGAAAGGCTATTTGCAGGTCTGAGAATGTATCTTGGGGAATTGGGTATGATGCATATGTAGTGGTCTGTGCAGTGATATAGGCTGACCTGGGAGGAACTCCAGTTCCTGAGAGACTGTGTAGACGGTGGATTGGGTAAAGGCAACAGAAGCAGCTTGGGGAGTTTATTCTAGAATCCTTTCTTGTTTCTCCTAAGCAGGACTCAAAGGCTTCCTTCTCTGACTTTCCAAGGAATCTGAGGATTTGTAGAGTATGGAAGCTCAGATTCTATTCTAAGGAGACTTATTTGACAGTGTATTCATTTTCCATGAATTCTGGAGAAAAAGAGATCAGAGATTCATGCTTTTTGTTTCTGTTGCTCAACTCATCTCTTAGGAGGTGGCAAGAGTGTGTGTATACCAAGTAGTACCAATGGGTAACTTTTCTCAACATGCTCACTTCTTGTCTCTTTGGATTCAAAGACTCTCAGGTTAAAAGGACATTAAATGTTATCGCATTACAGCTACCTATTTTGCGCTTGAAAACCTATTATCTTTCTCGTATGGTTCTGCAGCCTGTATCTGAACTTCTTCAGTGACAAAGGACTCCTCATTTCTGGAGTCAGCCCATTCATCCTTACACTCTGAGTCTGAAAGTAGAAATCAGTCTCCCTGTAATGTCTCCCATTGTTCTTCGAGTGACACAATGGAAGCACTCAGAATGGACCTATTCCCTACTGTACATACCCTTCAGATACTTATGCCTAAGAAATTAGCCCCAGTCCATTAGGCCCACCAGACCTTCATCCATTAAAAGAGATGGATGACTTGAAGAAGGTGGACCAGAGAGGCTAGGCTTTAGATGTCAAAATGCTAGTCTTTACTGATTCCAAAATGTAGGCTCCCACTGAACCATACTTCAAAATGTCTGAGCAAGACAAAGAGAAAGACCTCTTACAGACATCACAGATGGATAGAGTATCTGTTACCTGTCCTTTGTAGACTTCTTTCCTACATGCATTCTCTAGTCAAGAATACCTTCCATACATAAAGTATTTGTGTTGTTATCTTTTGATAATTGATAATTTGATCATTCTTCATGCAGTCTTATAGAAGACACTCTTTCCTATCAACATCTTCTGTAATTAATATATGGATCCCAACCTGCCCCCCAGTCACAGAAGCTGCGTAAATCCATAGAGAGATTCAGAGACTTGTCCAGAGGCCAAATTTAGAAATTAGTTGCTAAATACATTTTTCCAGATTTCTCCACACCTACCAAGTGTTTTTCATAAGCCTAATTTCATGTATCCCCAGCCATTACTATCCCTCAAATTTCTTCTTATGAAAATAATATATTTTAAAGAGCAAATGACATGGAAAAAAGTATAGAATCTGCACATTTTATAAACACAAGCATATTTAACTTTTATAAATACCTGAATTTTCTAGCCTTTGTTATCCAACATTTTGGTATATCAAGCAAGATTTATTTCACTAGATTTTCTCTGCCCCTAGGCTTTCTTTCTTCCTTTCATTTTTCATTCTTTAATGTTAAACAAACAAACAAACAAAAGGCTGTAGAGCTGTGGGGAGGCATGGAAAGTGGAATAGGTGAAGGGGAGGAGGAAAGGGACAGAAGGAACACAAGCAAACAAGCCTCAGTCTCTCAGGTCCATTAAGTGTCCAGATGGAGTGGCTTAGGCATGGGTGAGTGGTAGGTCTTGTGAGGGAGACCAGGACTGTCAAAATGTTGCCACCACTGACAGCTTCATTCGTCCCCTTGTTGAAGGAGCAGAAGGTGGATTTCCTGGAAAGAGGGGCGATGTTTGGTGTCTCTTCTCCAGCAGCTGAGCATCAACTTATACACAGAATCAGGGCAAATGGGAGGCTGAGGAAGGTAAGTCTTTGGAAACAAAAATCAACAAATAAAAGAACATTAAGAGGAAAGAAAAAGGAAGAGTCATTACATCATAGTTTGATTTACTCCTTCCCTACTGTTTTGAACTTAATAACTGAAATGGGTGTGTCGCATATTATCGCTCCTCTCAAAAGTTCCAAATTATATTAATCCCATTCCCATTTCCCTTCCCCTTTGTCTTCTTCAGTATCCAGAGCAAGATTTCCTAATGACCCACCTAGGTTGAAGCTTATGTTGGCTGAATCAATCATGACAGGTGCAAAAAATATGTGATCTTAGTTCCTTGACAGGAACAAATCTTAGTCAGATGCAGACCCTGGATGAAAGCAGTGTTTTCTATGCTTCCCTTCTGTCCTACCCTGTCTAGAGAATATTAACTTTCTATGTACATTGTGCAACAGCAATATCTGTTCATTTACCTCATCTATACAGTGGACTGCTAAAAGAATGAACAAATTTATTAGAAGCAAGGATGTGAGATTTGGCCTCATATACTTTGGTATTAGAAAGCACCAGTCCCTGGAGGACATCATGCTGGGTAAAGTAGAGGGTCAGCCAGTGAAAAAGGAAAGACCCTCAATGAATGGACTAACACAGTGGCTGCAACAATGGACACCAACGTAACAGCAATTGTAAAGATGGTGCAGGAACGGGAAGTGTTCTCGTTCTAGTGTACATGGGGGTCACTATGAGTTGGAACTGATTCAACAGCACCTAACAACAACATAGTCCTGACAAAAATTCTAGTCTAAGATTTTATTTATCTCTACTCTTAAGATCTTAGTTACTGACTGGATTATGCCATGAATGTACAGAACTTCCACAAGTAAAATACTATTCTACCAACATCCAAGACAATAGAACCAAGTCAAAACTCTTACTCTCTATGATCTCAATTATCTTCTTATCTACATTTTTGAATACCTGATATATTGACAGGTTTCTCAACCATACCTACATTTCCCTAATTCTCTTTGAACCTTTGTTAGTCCAATAGCTACATCTGGACAAATGTCAAATTACTTAAATGATTATGATTATCTTTTCAAAATCTTATAAACTTGGCCTACAACTGAAATTATGTTTCATGATAAATCTTATACTTGGAGAATTTCATTACTTTTTATGGCACGAAGCAAAATAAGCTTTTAAAACTATTTTTAATTATTTAATTTAACTTAAACCATATGTTTTAAATAAAGTGCTGCTGGGAAATTGTTCACATTTTGTGAAAAAAAATTAAAGACAATAATGTTACGTACATTTAAAAAATATATATTCATTAACTACTTCCTCCTTCCCTTCCTCCTCCTAGCCCAACACTAGCCTATATTATGCATCAGAGGAGATGGGCTTTCCTCAGCATTCTTCCTCTGCCCGTCAACTCTTAATTAACAAATAAAAAGGCAATTAACTCTGATTTTTAATGTAATATTTGATAATATGTGACAAGTCTTAATCAAGTATGTTACAAATGAGTAGGGCTGTAAGATACCAAGCATTTAAAAGAAAATATTAGCAGTACAAATAATGACATAACATAGTGGTTGTTGGTAGTGGTTATGTGCCATGGAGTCAGTTCTGACTCATAGCGACCCTGTACAGGGTTTCCAAAGCTATGAATCTTTACGGGAGCAGAAAGCCTCATCTTTCTCCCGCAGAACAGCTGGTAGTTTCGAACTGTTAACTTTGAGGTTCACAGCCTGATTCGTAACCAAGCATTTCCATATTCTACTGGTAATTCTTTCCTGGGGTATGTACTCAATAAGAAATAATATTGTATCTATTCATTTTGAGTCAGCAGATACCAATAAAATTTAAATGTCAAATAATTTAAATGATTAAGATGCTCTTTTAAAAATCTTATAAACTTGGCATATATCTGAAATTATATTTTTTCATGATAAATCATATACTTGTAGAATTTCAGGACTTTCAATTGTATTAAACAAAATTAGGAGTCCTGGCACTATAGGATAAATGCTGGACTCCAAGGTCAGTTTGAACCACAGGGTTGGCAGTTCAAACTCATCAGCTGCTCCTTGGAAACCCTATACAGGGTTGCAATGAGTTGAAACCAACTCAAAAGTATTTAACAACAACAATAAGATAAAAATTTTAAACTATTAGTTATTTAATTTTATTTAGGCCATAAATTTCAAGTAAAGTGCTTTTGGGGAATTCTTCAAATTTTGTGAAGAAACTTAAAAACAAAAATGTCATTAAAAATATTATTGCTATTGTTGTTGTTATGTGCCTTTAAGTCGGTTCCGACCCATAGCGACTCCGTACAGGGTTTCCAAGGCTGTAGATCTTTACGGGAGCAGAATGTCTCATCTTTCTCCTGCAGAGCGTCTGGTAGTTTCAAACTGCTGGCCTTAAGGTTCACAGCCCGATTCATAACTACTACGCTACCAGTGTTCCTTATTGCTATAGACATCCAAATATTACTTTCAATTGAATACAAAGAATCTAAGATTTATTTGCCTAAACCATGAATTCTAGGTGTGAATTTTCTTCTAGAACTCATGTTATTGAAAGGTTTCTTCTGTATCATATCTGCTATGATATAATTAACTGTGCCATTCAAAAATCAGTTAGATCATACAAGCGTTGTCTCGTGTCCACACAATCTAGCAGCTAACAGTGCTAAGAAATTACTGTCCTCACATTCCAGTGGCAGACATTTAAAATTTGAAGATTGAAATGTTAATTATAAAGTTTAATAGCAATTCAAAATGCAATAGTAAACTTGGTGTTATACTTAATAAGTAAATGTATTCAGTTTATGATTTTCTTAATAAAAATTTATACTTAATAAAAATTTATACTTATGCTGCCTATAATGGTAATATTTGACTTCGGCTTTGACTTTGGCCTTGGCTTTACTCAAATATTTGACTTGACTACACAACTGTATAGTAGTCGATCAGAGTATGTGCTTAATGAAATTGAAAATGGTAAATCATTTTAAATTGATTATGTAAAAATAAATAATCAAATTTCCATTTGAATTTTAAAACATTTTCTTGTGAAAATTAAACAGTAAAATATTTTAATAATTAATGTGTAACTTTTTAGTGCTAGGTGAAGAGGTATATAATATCAGTAATATTTTTAAGGCAAAGCAAGACAGTGGGCATAAAGTGGGGAAATATACTGAATGTGTGGTAGTCTAATTTTACATTATGTAACCATTTTTTTTTTTCCTGTAGGGTTTGAATCACTGAAAAATAAGTTGTGAAAGACTAAAAGACTGACATTTTCCCCTGTGCCTACACATTGGGGTTGTTGTTATGGTGAAAAGGGTCTATTTTTCTATTTTCTATTGACCATGAGTCTTTTTATGGGTGATCCTAAGCTGGGATGTACTAGTCTATGGAAAAAACAAACAACATTTTTCCTTGTTCTACTCACTTATTTCATGCACACTGGAGTAAATTTGCCCTTTACCATGTTAAAATAGCCTCATGCCAAGACAGTTTGGACTGTCTGATGGCAAAATATCTACAATAGCACAGAGTTTCTAAAACTTTCCTCTACTGAGTTATCATCTCCTGATAGTCCCTTGTCTCTTGCTTACCTAGACTTATTAAGGCCACTAAAGATCCACTTTTTATTTTCTGCAAGATATTTCTCCCCCCTTGACAGTTGTTATTATTTCCCTGCTTGAGATACCATACTCCAAGGGCATGTTACAGCCAGGCTGGTTCTGAAAGGTTCAGAGCACCAGCCGCTAGTAAAATTTAAATCCTAGACTAGATAGGAGCTTTTAAAACTGAGCTACCCAAAGAAATCTTGGGGTTCTTGGAAATCTTGGAGTATCTTGACTAGGAATTGAGATTCTTTGTAATTTGAAAACGCAACTTTCCCTGAGTCCAGAGAAGGCCCATTAACTGGGCTAGAGATGCCTCTGGGAACAGTTAATCCAAGAGGCATTAGACCATCTTTGAACACACAAATCTAGAAACATTCCTACACAATTCAAATCAACACTGTATCTTATATTACGGTAGCATTTTTAATATGAATAAATACTTTACTAAGTGTCATTGATTTGGTTTCAACTCATAGGGTTTCTGAGGCTGTACGTCTTTGCAGGAGCAGAACGTTCTATGGGACAGAGGAAGTCTGATGGGCCCCTAGGAGAAGCTGGGTGTTTCATATGATTCAGATAATCAGTGACAAATGACTACTCTCCATGTAGCTCATTTTACAGCTCAGGCTGATCCTGCTAAATCAGGACTTTTATTTCTCTCTCTTCCAAGAGCACAGAAGTGCACATCCAACCATTCTCATCAGTTCCTACCTGCCTCCCTTGGTCTCTGAAGAACTCTCCAGTATTCTCGATGACCTGTTCATCTGACAGCTGGGAATAGGGCTGCTCCTGGCAAAATGTGAAAGTCTCCCACAGTGTCACCCCAAAAGCCCATACATCGCTTGCTGTAGTGAATTTGCCCTGTTTGAATAAGGAAAATAAGAGAAAGTTCGAATACTCTGTGCACAATGAGAAAAGGTTAGATTTTTCATAATCTAGAGTTACCATTTATCAAAGATTCTACAAAAGAATCTGGCTCAAATCAGGGAAACATTCAGAACAGAATTTCAAATGATCATGGAATCCGTACTTCTGGAGTCGTTGAGGCTGAATGAACTCTTCCTATCCCCAAACCTATTACCCTGAGATGATCTTTAAACATTAAACCAAAAATGTCCCCCAATGTTGCATTAAACAATAGTTTAGCTTGATTAGTAAAGATTGTTTGCCTTGAGCATTTAAAAGGACTATCTATGCTCAAATTGACAATAGTAAATTTAAAAGTTAAAGGAGTTGTAGAGAAAAGTGAGCTATGGTAATTAGGATGAATAATGGCGATGAAACCTTAATTTTTAAAATTACTGGGTAATAGAAGAAATGAAAAATGAGATAAAGATCTCATTGACTCAAAATGAGAAAGAAAACCCGAAATACCAAAACCTTTGGGAACACATCAAAATGCAGTTCTCAGAAGGCAGGTTATAGCAATAAATGTGCACGTCAAAAAAAGAAAACCAAAATCAGTACCTTATCCCAGCATTTCCAACAATTAGAAACGCAGCAAAATAAGACTGTAGCCACCCAAAGAAAAGAAGTGATAAAGATTAGAAGAGAGATCAATGAACCAGAAAGCAGAAAGATGATAGAATCAACAAGAGTACTGCTGAATGCTCTCAAGTTGGTTTAATCTCATGGTGACCCTGTATAGGGTTTCTAAGGCTGTAAATCTTTATGGGAGCAGAAAGCTGGGGTTTGCATATTTGAAAGGATTAATAAAATCAATAAATCACTGGCAAAGCTAACAAAAGAAAGGAAGGAGATGGAGACGATGCAAATAGCATGGGTAAGAAATTAACTGAGTGACACCACAACATAACCAACTGAAACAAAGGAATAATATCAGAATATTATAAAGACTTATACTCCAACAAATTTGAAAACCTAGAAGAAATAGACAATTTCTAGAAACACACCACCTACCTAAACTAGCCCAAACTAAGGTAGAACATTTGAATAGACTCATAATAATAGAAGAAACTGAACAAGTCATTAACACATGCACACACACACACACACACAAAACAAAACAAAAATCCAGGCCCAGATAGCCTCACTGGCAAATTTTACCAAACATTTAGAGAATACCTGACATTGTTTCTACTTAAACTATCCAAAATGTAGAAAAGGATAGAGTACTCTCGATTTTGTTTTATAAAGTGAGCATAACCCTGATGCCAAAACCAAACAAAGATTTCACTAAAACAAATAATTATAGACCAAAATCCCTCATGAACATAGATGTGAAAATTCTCAGCAAGATCCTAGCCAATAGACTCCAACATGATATCCAAAAAATAATAAGTACCAAGTGGACCACATCCCAGGTATTTGAGAATGTTTCAACATCAGAGAAATAATCAACGCAATCCACCACGTAAATAAAACAAAAAGCTATGTGGTCATGTCACTTGAGGCAGAAAAGGTATTTGATAAAATCCAACATCTATTCCTGATCAAAAGACTCAACGAAATAGGAGTAGAAGGGAAATAGCTCAACGTAATTAAAGACATATATAAACACTGGACTGCTAATTGCAAGGTCAGCAGTTCAAACCCACCAGCCACTTCTCAGAAACCCTATACAGCATGTTTATGATTTGGTGGCACTTAAAAACAACAACAACAACAATACAAAACCAATGCCCAACATTAGCTTCAATGAAAAGAGACTAAAATCATCTCCTTACAAATAGGAATCAGACAAGGATGCCTTTCATTGCTATTCCTGTTCAATATTGTACTGGATGTCTTAGCCAGAACTATAAAGCAAGGAAGGGGGGAAAAGACATCCAAATTGGTACGGAAGATGTAAAATTATCTTTGTTGTTGATGATATGATTTTACACATAAAAAATCCCAAAGTTTCAACAAGAAAATTACTGGAATTAACTGAAATATTTGGCAAACTGGCAGAGGACAAGGTCAACATACAAACATCAGTTGGAGTCCTTTATCCTAACAAAAAGAACTCTGAGAATCAAATCAGGAAAACAATACCATTTACAATAGCCACCCAAAAGATGAAATTGTTCAGAATAAACCTAACCAGAGAAACAAAAGACCTGTAGAAAGAAAATTACAAAACAGAATTACAAGAAACAAAGTTGTTGTTGTTAAGTGCCATGTAGTTGGTTCTGACCCATAGCAACCCTATATAGGCTTTCCGAGGAGTTGCTGGTGGGTTTGAACTGCTGACCTTGTGGTTCAAACTGACCTTGCAATCTAGCACATTATCCTGCAGTGCCACACCAGGACTCTACAAGAAACCAAGAGACCTATATAATGGGAGAATATATCATACTCTTGGATGGAAAGACTTCATATTGTACAAATGTCAGTACTACCCAAAGTGATCTACAAATATAATGTAGTCCTGATGCAGACCCCAACATCCTTCTTGAAAGAAATGGAAAAATCACTAACTTTCTGTGGAAAGGAAAGAGACCCCAGATAAGCAAAGCACTACAGAAGAAGAGCAACAAAGTAGGAGACCTCACACTTCCCCATTACAAAATCTATAACACTACCACAGTTGTCAAAATACCTTGATACAACGATAGACACATAGACCAATAGAATGGAATTGAGAACTCATAAATAACTTCATCCATCTTAGGATAGCTGATCTTTGATAAAAGGATGAAACATATTAAATGGAGGAAGAAATAGTCTCTTTACAAATGGTGCTACCAAAACTAGAGGGACCACACAAATATCAGTCTCGATGACCTGGACGCCAAAAGAACTAAATGGGTCTGGCTATCACTTCCAACTACTCTAAAAGGGATTGCATTGATTAACTCCTGGCTAGAGTGGAAGAAAAATGTGGAACAAAACTCAAAATCATGAAAGAGACCAGGCTTACTGGTTAGATCAAATTTAATGGGACCCCCAAAGCTATGGCCTTTCATCACCCTTCAGGTCTGGCAATGAACTCACCTATATGGCTCAGTTTTTAGCTAAACAGCAGACAGGTCTATAAGAGAAGCAATCGCACTAGTGAGGTACACATGCCTTAGAATCATCAACCATTTGAGATCCAAAGGGCAGCATTTACCCAAGGACAAAATTTGAGGGGCTAGAAAAGAAGGAGGCATGGAAACAGGAAACACAGGGAGGAAGTGGGACAAGTGATGTTACAATGTGGGCCTGGCCACCAATGTGATGAAACAAAATGTGTATGGATTGTTGAATGGAAAACTATTTTGCCCTGTAAATCTTCACTCAAGTCACAATAAAAAGAAAGAAAGAGAGAAATATTTGGAAAAAAGTATTCAGTCAGGGTCTAGAAAATCAAGACTTGAATAAAAAATTTTTAAATGCTGAACTTAAAATAAAAGAGAAAATGGTGGCAAAATATAGAGATCCATGTAAATAACAAACATGGTTATGACATTAATACAGGAGGAAACTAATTGCTTATTTGCTTTGATAACATTTCTTTAATGGTAAGAATTTGAATACCTTAAATTAATGAAGAACAATGAATAGGAAGAAAGAGTGGAGGAGGGAAAATACTAAATCCCTGATCATTGTGAATGCACTTTAAAAAAATCCCCCCCTATGTTTTCTATAATGAGTGTTACCTTTTATCAGCAAAATTAAGCCAGTGTGTGAGATAATAAGGTATGGTGCTGTGGGTTAATGCGCCAGACTGCAAAGCCATTTGAACTATAAGGTCGGTGGTTCAAACTCACCAGCTGCTCCTTGGAAACCCTATACAGGGTCGCTATGGGTTGGAATCAACTCAACGCCACTCAACAACAACAACAACACTAAAAAAAAAAAATCATCTGAAGGCAGAGCACACATCAAGATCGATTGAATTTGTTTTCTGCTGTCTTAGGTTTGTTTCTACACGCCATGCATGCCTGCCTACATGTCAGATGCTAGATTAGGGCATTAAAATACTTGGAATTTACCAGCAAGATGCTCTCCCAAGACATCCAGCGGATCGGGAGCACTGCTCTGCCCTGGATCCGGTAGTAATCACCACTGTACAGGTTTCTACTCATTCCAAAGTCAGCTATCTTGATGGTATAGTTTTTACCCACTAAGCAGTTTCGTGTGGCCAGATCCCGGTGGACAAAATTAAGAGAGGAAAGGTATTTCATTCCAGAAGCAATCTGTGTAGCCATAAACTTCAGGTTGGTATAACTAAGGAAACAGAAAAGAAAAAAAAGTAATGTATGGAAATAGAAAACCATGAAAGTTAAACATCTTAAAACCTCAATATTCCCTTTCTGTTTTTAAGGAATCCCTCATAAGGTAGTGTCTTCATTAGCCCCTACCCCCTTTCCTCCTCCACTCTCCCAGAACACTGAAGGACTTTTAGGTTCACAGCTCCCCATCTTTTGAGCACAGGGAAGACATAGACGAGCTGGCCTCTTTACCTGACAGTGGGTACATTGCCAGAGGAAGCACTGGGGGGCTCATGGCGGGAGAGAAATTGATTGAGGTCTCCATTCTCCATGTACTCAGTGATCATGCAGAGGGGGTCATCAGTGATACACACAGCTAAGAGGCGGATGATATTTGGGTCCTTGAGCCGGGACATGATCTTTATCTCCTTAAGAAAATCATTCCTTTGTAGGACGCAGACATAGACAAACCCATTAAAATCAAGAGGGGGAAGAATACACAACAAACTCTATTCCAACCTATTACGTCAAGCCTTGTTTCCATTGGGATAGCTTTTGAGAGGGCACAGAAATAGTACATGTAACTGTCTCACTCTACTCATTCTGAAATAAGATACATCCTTACTCAGCCATAGCATTTTTTGAGAACAAGAACCATGGCATTTACATTTGCATCCTTAGTATCTAACACAATGACTGCCACATAAAAATAATTCATTAACATTTGCCAAATCAAATGTATGCTCCTAAAAATTACTCTCCAAAATGAAACTTTTCACAGAAACTCATACCTTAGGTGTTCTAGGGGTATTGATCTATTTTAGAAAAGCCTTGGAGTCACTCAGCTAATAAAGTAAAGAAATTTATAAGATAAATAATCACCCTCTGGTGATCTGAGAGTCATTATATTCTCATTCTGGCTTTTCTTAATATAGGGTGTACCAGCAGTCAATTACAACATACATTTGGAAGCTTGCTTATAACAGAGCTGCTTAAAGGCCACAGTAGAAATGTGGGATCATTTCGGATAAAGTACTTACTTGGCCAAGACTTATAACTGTTTGAGTACTCGGTGATATCCATCTTTGAGTCATAAATCAGCTGTAACCTTCCCAGTAGAAATATTTGGGTTAGTAAAACCACTAGCCCACATTACCAAAACAATAGGAACAGATCTTTGGGTTTTCTAGGAATCTTACACTGAGTCATACTACATCAGTATAACCCCCTTGAAATCAGTGTAGTTCCAATGCAAGATCTCCTCCTCTTCCATTCCCTACTTCAGCATCAATCCAGAGGTTTCCATGGTGACAGGACCTAGAGGCTAGCCTACCCGTCATTGCTAAGAGATAATGGATACCAGTGCAGGCACACAAAACCTCACCAGCCAAAATCATGGGTAAAGCTTTGGCACTTTCTCCAGTAATGAGCCACAAGTATTATTAGGAATACTCCATCTTTCTTTGGAACCCAAAGGATGTCACTTCTCATTCATATGAATATCCAGAAGATTGAAATTCTCACAATTAAAATTCTAAAACTGTTATAGTTTCATTTCCCCTCCTCTCTTCCTTCTCTATTCCATATTCTGTCCATTTTAATACCTCTAATGAAACTGTTACACCATTTTATGGAACTTATGATCATTTGGGGGAAAGCAATAATAAACTGTCTCCCTCTTTGAATATCAGAGACACAAATCATGCCAAGACAAATGGAAAAATGCAGATGTTATCCAGATGTGAAGATTTCTCTGACACACATACAACCAACTTTCAACTAGTCTACTTTTCTGGGTGAGAATTAACTCACCATTACTGTATGGAAAGGCTGTCAGACAACGGTGCATGGTTGGAAACTGCAATTTATATAGTAGAGTTACTAGCCAGTTGGGGAAAACTGCTAAAGGACTGTGGATCCTTTAGCTTTGAGGTCCATGTGTATTTCTCCAAGTAGAGATAGCTTCTCATTTGGGGAGTTGCTGGACATATAAGAGAAGGAGCATAAAGAAAGAAAAACAGATGAGAAAGTAAATAGAGAAACAAAAAGAAGAATGGAAGAAATTTGGCAAGAAATATGTGTATGGTTATGAAAAGTTTGTCAGGAAGAGGTAATGCACGCAGATGTATGCTTATATAATAGTTGAAGTATATATCGAGGTTACTGGGTATTTTGGGAAGCGTGCTGTGCAAAGGAGATTGGAAAGTAAAAGGATAAGAAATAGAATAGAAAAATGTGCTTGAGAGAGATGGGGAACATAGGCAAGGATTTCTGGCTCTGTCAGAAGAATAAAATGTAACAATGGGAACTACAGGGTAACTCTCAAACCTTCCCACCTCAAAAGTTACAAAAGAAGAATGGTATAGAAGTTTCCAGGAGTTCTCCTGGTGCTAAAGATGAAATACATAAAGGAACATTCAAAATGCATACCACAGACCTGGCATTCTTGTTGGCATCTGCTCGAAGCATTTTCACAGCCACCAGGACGGGCTGGTTGGCACTGACATCTAAGGCAAAATCTTTGTCTTTAAATGTTTCCATTCCCTCCACTTCACAGAGATGAACCTAGACAAAAGTCATCTAGTCTCAGCATCATCATTTCTCCTGAAGATGTCTCAGTACTCTTGCTGGGCATTTCCTGGAGATAAACTAACTCTTACAACTCAGGCAAAATAATCAAAAGACCAATAAGAAGATATGTGTAACATATCATTGACTCAAGTAATTGATAGAAACAATCATAAAGCACCCAGCTAATATGTTACTGCCTTATAAAAGAAATACACATTGATGAGAAGATGAATAGGTAGGTGAATGAGTAAATCTAACATAGTATTTTATTACAGCATTGTTGGTTAAGTGCCATTGAGTCGGTTCTGACTCATAGCGACCATGTATAGGGTTTCTGAGGAGCAACTGGTGGATTTGAATCACTGATCTTTTTTGGTTAACAGTCCCTTATCCTACAGCACCACACCAAGACTCTTTATTACAGGATTGTTGTTGTTAAGAGTCATTGAATAGCCCACTATAAAACAACATTCAGTATAAATGCTTGGAATTTGATTCAAGGAAGTTTAGCGACTGGATTGTGCAAAGTATAAGAAGGCATCCCCTAGAAAGTAATCCTTTCTTATGAATCAGCATTCTATGTGACTTCTAGGAATCAGTAGGGACTGCTGGTGGCACTGTAGGAAAAGTACTGGACTGCTAGTCACAATGTCAGCAGTTCAAACTCACCAGCCACTCCATGGGAGAAAGATGAAGCTTTCTGCTTTCGTAAAGATTCACAGCCTCTGAAGCTGTTTACAGGGTCACTAGGAGTTGGAATCCACTTGATGACACTTAACAACAAATGAATCAATAGCAGTATATTAATTAGGCCTGATTTTGCAACTCAGGCATCAGAATTTGTATATATAGCACCACAGAATGACACCATGAACCTCTCTACCTCCTGCAGCACCAAACGGTGCGCACCCCTCCCATAGTGGGAACCAGTAACACTATTCTTATAAAACTAATAATTACATTTGTTAATATTATAATATTATAATACATCACCCCGAAGTCAATTGAGAAGAGTATTTGTCTTTATCTTAGTTGATGATTCATTCCCTAGTGCCTAATTCTGGGACCAAAGACAGAAGTGAGGTTGTTTTGACCGTTTTACATTTAATTCTCTTTAATGGGCAAAAAACAAAGTTTCTATCAAGCATCAGGGTGTTCCTGGACAGATCATAAAGGATGATCACATCTGTGGGTCCCCACCCTTTATAACCTATTATACAATTTTGAAAGTATTGAATTTTTTCTGGGTATCCAAAGTCTAGTTAGTGACTTGCCTGATTTAAAATCTCCTGTAGAGAAATCAGAAGTCCCAGGAACGCTACAGCTATTTGATAAAGATAAGGTTAATCAGTACTATGGATGTTGCAAGGAGGGACAAGTGGAGATATTCCAGTTGTGAGTCTACTTGTGGAAGAGCTACTAAAGACTGGAGGCAACACTCTAAAAGGTCAACTTACCTCCCCAAACTGGCCTTCTCCCAGCTTCTCCTTGAAGGTTAAGAGCTTCCTGGGGAATTCCTCCACAGCCACATCTTTTCCTGACAGCAGGTCCATGGTAATGGCGGGCACTGAGTAGGTGTTGCCACCAGTCACTCCCTGAAGGTTCACAATGTCGGCCTCTGCATAGTGAGGCACACCCTCAGGCCCATTGGTCTGAACAGGCTTCACAATGCCACTGCAGCCTGGGAGGATGAATGTAGTGAGTCTCAGACCAAGAGGTATCACTGGAAACCTCTTCAAGGAAGACACTCTGACAGGAGGGCTAGAATATATTCCTAAAACAGTCTAATCCACTTCATGGCATTCTTTCTTGGAGAACGATTTGAATTCCAAATGCAGGTCACCCCTTTGTTTTCCATTCTTCTCTTCAAAATGCATCATCAGTAAACACCTCTTTGGCCAATCTTGCAGAATTGTGCACTACTGTGCTACCCTTGGAGAAACTATAGGAAGTTTATGCTATGTAAGGGTAGGACTATTAAAGGCTTAATACCACTTCATTAAGTTTAAGACATTTTTATGGTGTGGTGTGGCACTACACCGGCCAACCATTCCTCAGAAAGCCTATACAGGGTCACTATGAGTCAGAACTGACTCAACAGCACTTAACAGTAATAACAATCATTTATTTTATGAATGAAAAGGCTTTTATATAAATATACATGATAGCCCTAAAGGAAAATGGTATTTGGCAAAAATGAGAGGAGGGAGGAGGCTATCTCAGAGTGTAAGGGATGGGGGTAAGGATTAAATCTGAGATTCAACATTTATTATCTATGAAAGCTAATGTGGGTGTGGGGACACTATATGGGACAGTGTTAGCACAATTGAATGGAACGATTTAGAATCCTTATATTGCCCTTTACACATGAGAAAATGGGATTTCAAATTCAAACAAATACTTGCACAATTCCAAATATATGAAATTCTTGAAAATGCAAAACCATAGAGACAGTACAAAGATCAGTGGTTAACAGAGTTCTGGGAAGAGATGGAAGGGGTGAATAGGTGGAGCACAGGTCATTTTTTAGGTCAGTGAAACGGTTTTGCATGATACTGTAATAGTGGGCACATGACATCACACATTTGTTAAAACTCATCGGAGTGTATACCACAAAGAATAAACCCGAATATAAACTATGGACTTTAATTAATAAGAGTATATCAATATAAGCTCATTAATTATAATCAACATGTCACAAGGATACAAGATATTTATGATAAGTGAAACAGTGCATATGGGATAAAGAGAGATTTGGAAACTCTTTGTACATTCTATACAGATTTTCTGTAAACCTAACATTACTGTAAATGATAATTTTTTTTAAAGCTTTAATATTAAAGCATATGATCTAGTTTAGGATATATTCTATGTTTTTAAATGTTAACATAGGGGGATAGACAGGATGTTTCGGACCCCAGAGGACAGGTACCATTTCTTTGGTTCGGTCTAGGAAAGAAATTAGATTGTATCTTTTATTCTTGCTGCCCCTGTAAAATTGCCTTAAGTTCAATGTGCTCCTCCAATGTTTGTTATCCATTGGGGGGTGATGTTGTTGTTATTGTCAAGTACCATCAAGTCAGTTCTGACTCATAGCAACTCTATACAGGGTTTCCAAGGAGCAGTTGGTAGATTTGAACTGTCCACCTGGTGATTAACAGTCCAGTGCTTATCCCACATTGTTACCCCAGAACTCCCCTTAAGGCATGTACTTTTTTTGGTTTCTTTTTGGTTAGCTGTCATTAAGATAATGTAAGGTATTTTTTATGAGAGTAACTTTCTCTTGCATTTTCTCAATAAAGGCATTGTTTTGGTAAAACAGTGCCAGCTGATCTAAAACCCCAAATGTTCTTTAAAAAGTGCAACAGAGTGAAATCAGGAAAGGGTGCTGAAATTAACACTGAAGCTTAGAGCAGCTTGGCCAAGGGTCATCAACCTAAGTTGCTGGTGTTGTTAGGTGTCGAGTTCTGACATCCTATGCACACAGAACACAACGCTGCTCAGTCCTGTGCTATCCTCATAACTTGTTATGTTTGAGTGACCTAAAGTAGTAGAAGATGACCTTGTGATGTTTAAGAGGAGCTCAACCTGAGCTAGTTGTAGAAGCAGACAGGACCAAGTATGACACCATATGCTTTTCAAGGAACTAACCTGAAGAGGGACTCTAAGAAAGAAACTAACATCAACCAATGAGACTCCTCTCACTAAACCCAGTGTGGAGTCCTGGTGTGGCACTGTGGTTAATGCGCCAGACTGCAGAGCCATTTGAAGTGCAAGGTTGGCAGTTCAAGCTCATCAGCTGCTCCTTGGAAACCCTATACAGGATCACTATGGGTTGAAATCAACTTGATGGCACTTAACAACAACAACAAACCTGGTGTAGCACTGTGGGATAAGCACTGGACTGTGAACCACAAGGCTGGCAGTTCAAACCCACCAATTGTTCTTGGAAACCCTGTACAAGGTCACTGTGTGTCAGAATCAACCCAATGGCACTTAAAAACAACAACAAAAATAGATTTGGTTAATAAGGAGCAATGGTGTCATATCGTTACAATGCTTGTCAAGACTTCTCCCTCAATTTTCTGTCCACTATTTCATCCTCACCTGACTCTTCCTCCCCTGGAGCAAATTCTGGGAGTTTCCGTATCAACCTGGATGGCTCCTGGTAGTCAGGCCGAAGGGGAAAGATGCGATCATAAGTCGAGTTGGACTCCTGTTCACTTGGTGATGAGGAACGGTTATTGTTGAACATACTGGACTCACTTGGAAGGGAAAGGCTCACTGTCATTTCGTCATCCAGCATCCTCCGGGAAGCCTGAAAGAGAAGAATATGGGGAAGGACAGAAAACAATTGGTCCTTGTCTGGGTTCCTGAGGGTCAGATTACACCTAAGCTTAAAGAGTAGGGGATGACCACATCAAGAAAGACCACCTAGGACCCTAATGCTGTCTAGCCTCAGGAGGTATGATGTAATGTATCATAACCATATGGGGGAAGTTAATAAGAGACTAGAACCTTAAAACTCAAATAGGTTTGTGTTCTATTTGGTGAGAACATCTGCTCTCAGGAGGAGAAGTGTAAGCTTCACACTGGAACCCCTTCCAGACCTAATCCTATGTGTTTCTTCATTTATATCCTTTCTGATTGTTATAAATTTGTAGTCATATATATGGTATACTCCGTGAATTCTGTAAGTTATTCCATTGAAGTATCAAACGCAAAGGGACAGTGAGAGCCAGCCAGGGCTGGCATCTGCATATTTAGCAATCTGAAGGACTGTGTAATTTTTAACTGGCCAGCTCTGATTTAGCTCCAGTGGCTACAGCAGCCAAAGGGCTGTATGGACAACTGGTCTGAAGGACAGTGACTATCTAACTTGTGAGTTTTGACCCAGCTCCAGGTGACTACAAATGAAGAGTAGGAGAGACAGTGCTGTTTGGTTTGGAGCATGAGGATGGAGAAGTGAAAAGATAAGAAATGGATCCATCTCCACGTCTAAGGGATTGGATTCATGCGGATTCTTACCACACAATTGGCAACTGTGGGATTTGCCTACTTTGTTCTTTATTCAGTGCAGGCAAGTTGGCACCAAGGACATTAACATTTTTCTCCTTCCTTCCTTAAACCTAGCTCTTCCATTCAGATGAAATACCCTTTACTGCTATTTAATTTCAGCAGCTCTGCAAGTGACAGAGAAGCAGCTGGGTCCCACAAGTGTCTGTGTTGCAGAAATTTAGGCTGTTTCTTAATTTCTACAGGCAGAATTTTACTTCCTAATCTTTGTTCAACCAACATTTATAAATATTCTTTGAAGCATATTGTTATTGTTAAGTGCCATCGAGTCAGTTCTGACCCATAGTGACCCTGCATAGGGTTTCTGAGGAGCAGCTGGTAAGCTTGTAGTCTAGTGCTTATTCTACAGTGGTTCAAAAACTGACTTTGCAGTCCAGCACATTACCCCACAGCAGAAGCATTATTTATATGACATGCAAAACTCTACCAGCAGCCAAAGATCTAAGTATTATAGTTTTCTATAATCTTTTTAAGTTTTTGCTAATTTTCCATAACTGCTTTAATTTGATGTAGACATGAATTGTAAGGCCCATTAACAGGTGTTCTATAACGTTATGAGTCACTCATGGTTTCCCTAATAAGGCCTCATTATTTACTAACCAAAAAATAGGACTACAAAATAGGAAAGAAAAGCCCTAGGTGTCCTGGGATGTCATGATAAATTATACCTACCATGGAAATAAGAAGAGTAAAACAACTAATGGCTTTGGCATCCTATCTAATGTCCACTCCCTGTCTATCAGCTTGTCACACTGTATTGGCTTGTGTACTGCTAAGATGCTGGAAGCTATACTCCAAACACCCATGGATCACATGTGGTAGACAGGTTTCAGTGGAGTTTTCAGGGTAGGACAATAAAGAAAGGTCCAAAGATCTAGTGTCAAAACTTAGCCAGTGAAACTAGTCTCTAGATCACAAGAGAAGATTGCCTGATATAGTGTTTTAAGATGAGAATCTTAAGTTGGAAGGCACTCAAACACACATTGCTGTTGAGTCAATGCTGACTCATAGTGACCCTACAGGACTTAGTAGAACAGTCTCATAGAGTTTCCAAATCTGTAAATTTTAGTGGAAACAGACTGACACTTCCTTCTACCATAGAGTGGCTGGTTGGTTCAAACTGCTAACCTTCTGGTTAGCAACTGAGGGCTTAACAACTGTGCCCATGGACTCAAGCATTTGTGAAGATGGCCCAGGACCAGGCAACGAGTCATTCTGTTGTACATGGGGTCACCATGAGTTGGAGTCTAATTGACTGCAATTAACAACAATCTAACATTACCTATGTTGTTGTTGTTGTTAAGTGCCATCAAGTCAGTTCTGACTCATAGTGACCCTGTATCAGGTTTCTGAGGAGCAGCTGGTGAGTTGGAACCACCAATCTTGCAGCTCAAACTGACCTTGTGGTCTAGTGCTTATTCTACAGTGTCACATCAGGACTCCACACTCCTTCAAAAGAGCAATGCCAAAAGACTTCCAGAAAGGGGGCAGATGAGGCAGACATAATACACAAATTCTACAATAAAAATATGAAAGACCAAATGAAACAGATACAGATGATAACCCTGGGATCCTGGAATTCAGAGGAAAGAATAGAAAAGTGGATTGATTCTAAAATAAAACAAACCTTCATGACTGAAAATAGAGAACCAGAGATATAAATTTGTAACCAAGAGAAGAGATAAATGAAGCAGAAGTCAGAAAACCTAGAACAACAAAACTAAAAGTTGGTTCTATGAAAGAATTAATAAAAATCTATAAACCACTGGCAAATTGGACAAAGGAAAAGATGCAAATAGCATAAAAATTTAATGAAATGGGTGACATCACAATAGAACCAACAGAAATGAAAAAGAACTGTACTCCAACGAATTTGAAAATCTAAAAGAAATACACAGTTCTTCTGTGAAATATCCTTCCTTAAAACCCTAACATAAACTTCAGTCATTGAAGGAACCTCGATATGGAATACGGTAGAAAGAAATGTAAGCTATTTCTCTGGGTTGACCCTTACTTCTTTGGTTTCAGTCCCTCCCTTTTTGTCCTACATCCAAAAAATTCTGATAATTCAAGTTTATTGTCATGATTCCCATCCTTCTCCTCTAGAATAAATTCTACATGGGGATTGTTCTCCCTTGGAAATCTACCCCAAACACAGAGATCAATCACACTTTACCTTCTTTACTGTTTCTCATCCTCAACAGGCAATTCAAAGCCTCACAGCCCAAATCTTCCTTGTAGATTATAAAATGTTAGACAAATGTACTAAAAATTATTCAGATTATTTGGTCTAGAAAAGTAGATTTCAAGGAGGATCGATACATAATTATAACCTTCAAGTACATAAAAACATAAGAATAAAATTGTGAGAAATTTTACTTGGATATTAATGGTGGATTTTTTTTTTTTTTCACACACACAGCAAAAACAAATAAGCAAACAAGTAGAAAAGAAGGAAAGAATCTTCAATGCTGTGGTACAGTGAATTATGATTCTTCTACCATTGTTTTTTGAAATTCCCAACAAAGAATTGGGTGGGGCCATGTAAATAGGGTGTGTGGGACTCTTTATAAGGAGCTAAGAAGCAGGTACAGAAAACCTCAAGACTATCAAGAAAGGAGAGCCATGAAAGGAGGCCCTCTGGACCTTGAGGTACCTGTTCAGAGAAGTGGTGACAGAAGAGGGAAACAGTAGAGTGACAGAGCAGTAGGCTTCCTGGCCCATAAAACTGAGTGTCTTTGGGTAAGAATTGGGTGCCCTTTGGACATTTATCAGCAGAGCTAAAGGAATTTGTAACACTTCCGGGAGCAGGGCAGAGTCCAAGACACTGAATGACTATGAGGCCAAGGACCAGAGAGAAGTATGCCTACAGTATGGCTGAGAAGCGGTACCGGAGTGGTTTCTGATCCTGAATCATGTCCTGCTAACTTCCCTAATACACCTCATCATTGTGAGTATAGTCTGTGAGTTTTGTGTGTCCATTGCAACAGACTATTGAATCCAGCAGAGACCTAGAGTGCTCTGGGAAGGATGGTTGGTGTCAGAATTGGTAAAGAAGGTTCCTATAGCCTTTGCATCATAGAAATCAGCTTTGGGCTGTTGTGGAGTTTGATTCTATCATCCTCCTTGTGAAGCTGGAGAAGGTCATATATGGTTTCCCCATGTCATTTTCACAAATGCATTAGCAGAAATTTTGGCTAGGTATCTGATCCAACCTTTACTGTGGACCAGAATCACTGTTAATTTTTTTTAATACCCATGTCTGCACCCCACTCCATCCTCATCACTGAACCCAGGAAATCAAAATCTTCAAGAGAGATGCTTGAGGAGAGATTTGGTGTTAGGAATCATTTTCTGAATATCCTAGATTCCAAAATCTTCTCTCTAAAAATGAAAACATAGAATATCCTTTTCTGGTTCCTTTCAGCAACAAGCTTCTCCAGCTTCTCTATTTCTATGTTTCTTAGTTAACTCTCTAGCCATTTATAAATGTTTTAAATTTGCTATTCAGTCCTTGGGAGACAGTGGCTTAGGAAAAGGGGGAGCAGCTTCCTGGTCCACACCTGTTCTGCATCTCCTCACCTTCTCCAGCATTTTCTGCCAGAACTGCCTCCAAAGGATGATGATAATGATAGCTAGGAGGATGAAGATGATAGCTACCAAGCAGCCAATCAGGATCCGTGTATTGCTGTCATCAACTTTAAGCATTGGATCTGTAACCAGAAAGAGGAAGACAGGAAATATGGTCATTTAATGGACTAAAGGCAGGAAGGTAAAACCTGTCCTTTCAGAATAATTGTAGAAGACATCCTCTTAAGACTAATATATATTCTTGGTCTTCTTATTCTTTTATTACCCTATAGTCTTCCTTCACTGGATAATAGCATTCTTTTCCCCAAGTATCAGACTGGATAATTTAGAGTCTTTCCATTGTTCCCAAAATGTTTTTTTTTTATTACCATAGTCTAGGTCAGTAACACCTCATGCAAAGCAGTGAGGACCCAGTTTTACTTTTTGCGTTCTTTGAGACATACCAAGGTAGCTGTAAATTCTGCATGGAAACACTTATTCAAGCATGTTTCCCAGATTGCTGGCTCTTATTGCCAGTAACTCTTCAAATCAATGAATAGACTTTTACACACTTATCTCCAATTAGAAAGCCCAGCATATTGTTTTATAGACCCATTCATTCATTCAAATACCCAATATGGGATTTGCTTAGATATATTCCTTTTCTTTTCTTGTTTCTGCCTCTGATTTCCCAAACATTAATGGAGCAGTTGGAACAATCCTAGCCTCTGCCTCAGCTGAAGTATCACGTGAGCCAGAGTGAAGAAAGTGAATTTGACCCTTTAACTATGGAAGTGGACCGTCCTACCTTTGTAGTCATCAGTTACCATTACTCCTACACAGACAGAAGTCTTTTGCAAATCTCCACCATTCACCATTTAGGAGGTCCCATCAACTTAATTTTTATAACTATGAATCACACATACCATAGGTTGTGGGTGCCACAGGAGAGGTGGGCAGGGCTCCAGAGTTGTTGTACATTGCAGCATCTGATACAAAACAAGGGTGAGAACAGAGGAAAGGTCAGCTAGATGGGGCATTTTCTGACTGTAGATTGTGTTCTAGAACTTTGTGAAATCAATTTGGTGGGTTGTGACCAAGACTTTTTTCAAAATCAAATTAAATAATACAATAACACCATTTAGGTATATAGAAAATACAACTTTTATAAAATTATTGTTTCAAATATTTGAAACTATGTGTCAAAACGAAAATTTGTTTGATAAAAAGTGGTGTGAGGGTTGTAACTACATAAACTGTTGTTGTTGTTGTTAGAGGCATCATCAACTTGGTTCCGACTCATAGCAAGCCTATACACAACAGAATGAAAGACCACCCAGACCTGCACCATCAATTGTTGCTACAATTGAGCCCATTGCTATCACCACTTTGCCAATCCATCTCATTGGGGGACTTCCTCTTTTTCGCTGACCCTCCACTTTACCAAGCATGATATCCTTCTCGAGGGATTGGTCCCTCCTGATAATATGGATGAAGTATGAGAGATAAAATCTGACCATCCTGGCTCCTAAGGAGCATTCTGGTTGTACTTCTCCAAGACAGATTTGTTTATTCTTCTGGGAGTACATGGTACTTCCAATACACTTCTCCAAAATTATAATTCAAATGCATCAATTCTATAATCTTTCTTATTCATTGTCTAAACTTTCACATGCATATGAGGCTATTGAAAATAGCCTGACATCTTTACTGTTGAACACTTTAAAGAGGTCTTATGCAACAGATTTACCTAATGCAATATTTCTTTTAATTTTTTGACTGCTACTTCTATGAGTGTTGATAGTTGATTGAAGCAAAATAAACCCTTTAACAACTTCAATCTTTTCTCCATTTACCATGGTGATATTTATTGGTCCAGTTGTGAAGATTTTTTGTGTTGTTTTTTTTTACAGTGAGATTAAATCCATACTGAAATCTGTCATCTTTGATTTTCATCAGTCAGTATTTTAAGTTCTCTGAACTTTCAGTAAGCAAGGGAGTATCATCTCCATATCGGAGGTTGTTAATGAGTCTTCCTCCAATTCTGATGCCATATTCTTCTTCATATAATCCAACTTCTCTGATTATGTGCTCGATATTCATATTGAATAAGGATGGTAAAAGAATACAACCTTACCTCACACCTTTCCTGATTTTAAGCTATTTAGTGTCCCCTTGTTCTATTTAAATGACTGCCACTTCATCTATGTACAGGTTCCTCATGAGCACAAATAAGTGTTCTGGAATACCCATTCTTCACAATGTTATCCATAGCTTGCCATGATCCATACAATGGAAAATCTTCACATAGTCAATAAAGCATTGGTAAACATCTTTCTAGTATTCTCTGCTTTCAGCCAAGATCCATCTAATATTAGCCATGATATTCTCTCATTCTATGTCCTCATCTGAATCCAGCTTGAACCTCTGGCAGTTCCCTGCCAATATACTGCTGCAGACATGATTTTACTTGCATGTGATATTAATGATATTGTCCAATGATTTCCACAGTCCATTGGGTCACCTTTCCTTGGCACAAATATGGATCTCTTCCAATCATTTGACCAGCAACCTGTCTTCCAAATTTCTTGTCATATATGAGTGCTGCCTTAGTTTGTTGAAAGATTTTAATTTGTATTCCATCAATTCCCAGAGCCTTGTTCTTTGCCAATGCCTTCAATGTACCTTGGACTGCTTCCTTCAGTATGATTGGCTCTTAATCATATGCTACCTATTGAGGTGGTCATACATTGAACATTTAGTTTTAGTACAGTGACTCTGTGTATTCCTTCCATCTTTTTATGCTTTCTGCATCATTCAATAATTTTCCCATAGAATCCTTCAATATTTCAAGTTCAGGCTTGAATTTGTATCTCTTATACAATCAGTTGACCAGGTAACTGTCTTCCAAATTTCTTGGTATAGATTAATGTGTGTTTTCAGTGCTGTTTGTTCCAAGATTTTAGTTTGTGTTCCATCATTTCCCAGAGCCTTGTTCTTTGTCAATGTCTTCAGCACACCTTGGATTCTTCAGTTAGTACCAATGGCTCCTGATCATATGCTATCTCTTGAAATGGTTGAACAGCAAACATTTTTGATAAAGTGATTCTGTATATTTCTGTCACCTTCTTTGGATGCTTCTAGCATCATTCAATGTTTTGCTCGTAAAAAATTAAAAGAAATTTAAAAATTAAATTAAAATGAAAATCAATTTTAATTAAAATTTTTTAAAATTTTAATTTCAAAAAATTAAAAGAAGTCCTTCAATGTTGCAAGTTGAGACTTGAATATCTTCTTCAGTTCTTTCAGCTTGAGAAATGTTGAGTGCATTTTCTTCTTTTGGTTTTCTAACTCAAGGTCTTTGCATCTTTTATTATAATACTTGACTTTGTTTTCTGGAGCTGCCCTTTGAAATTTTCTATTCAGTTCTTTTATCTCTTCATGTCTTTTATTTTCTTTAGCATCTCTATGCTGGAGATGAAGTTTCAGAGTCTCTTCTGACATCCATTTTGGTCTTTTCCTTCTTTCTTGTCTTCTTAATGACCTCTTGCTTTCTTCACGTATGATGTTCTTGATGTCATCCCACAACTCTTCTGGTTTTCAGTTTTTAGTGTCTAATGTATCAAATATGTTCTTTAGATGATCTCTAAATTCAGGTGGTATATATTCAGGTGGTATATATTTTGGCTTTCATGGACTTGGTTTAATTTTCTTCAGCTTCAACCTGAACTTGCATATGAGGAATTGATGGTCAGTTCCACAGTATCCCTCTGGCCTTGTTTTGTATGATGATATGGAAGTTTTCCACTTTATCTTCCCACAGATGTAATCAATTGTATTCATGTGTATTCCATCTAGTGAGGTCCATGTGTATCATTGTCTTTATGTTGTTTTAAAAAGGTGTTTGCAGTCAATAATTCATTGGTCTTGCAAAAACTATAGTGACTAGCTATCAATAGTTATCTTAAGATAATTACTGCTCTGAAATGATCCCTGAGGATACATGGGAATCTACTCCCTCCACTAATAGTTAACACATATAATGTTATTGACACTGCTTTGAACATCTTAATTTCTGCTCTCCATAGAGACTTCAATAAAATAATCTGTATATTCACTCTTAGAGCTTATCTTTAGCACAAAAATGCATGTAGGAAATAAACTTGGTTTTCTAAACATATACTCTATTTCATTATTGTTGTTGTTGTTAAGTGCTGTCAAGTTGGTTCGAACTCATAGCAACCCTGTGTAGTGTTTCTGAAGATGGGATGGTGGGTTTGTGTTGCTGACCTTGTGCTTAGCTGTCTAGTGTTATCCTACAGTGCCACACCAGGACTCCATTTCATTAGTAATACATCTCAATTTGGTTTAAAATAAGGAAAAGTGTGTGTCAGGACTGTATCCTTTCACCAAACTTATTCTATATGTATACTGAGCAAATAATCTAAGAAGCTAGACTGTATGAAGAAGAATGTTGCATCAGGATTAGAGGAAGCATCATTAACAATCTGCTAATATGCAGATGACACAACCTTACTAAAAATGAAGAGCACTTGAAGTACTTACTGATGAAGATCAAAGACCACAGCTTTCAATATGGTTTACATCTTAGCATAAAGAACATAAATATTCTCACAATTGGGTAAGTAAGTAGTGTCATGATAAATGGAGATAAGATTGAAGTTATCAAGTATTTCATTTTACTTGTATCTACAATCAACACCCATGGAAATAGCAATCAGGAAATCAAATGGCATTACATTGGACAAATCTGCTATAAAAGATCTCTTTAAAGTGCTAAGAAATAAAGATGTAACTTTAAGGACAAAGGAGCTCCTGAGCCAAACCATACATTTCCCCAACAGCTTCATATGCATGTGAAAGCTAGACAATGAACAAGGAAGAAGGAAGAAGATCCAATGCCTCTGAATTATGATGTTGGCAAAGAAATATATAGTCAGAGTGCTCCTTAGAAGTGTGGATGGCAAGTTTTTGCCTCACATACTTTGGGTATATTGTGAGGGAAAAATCCTGGAGAAAGACATCATGCTTGGTAAAGTAGAGAGTCAGTGAAAATGAGGAAGACCCTCAACGAGATGAATTGTGTTTATGGCTGCAACAACGTGCTCAAACATAGCAACATATATGAGGATGGTGTTGTTGCTGTTGTTGTTAAGTGCCAACGAGTCAATTCCAACCCATAGTGACCCTCTATAGGGCTTCCAAGGAGCAGCGGGTGAGCTTGAACCGCTGACTTTGCAGTTCAAATGGCTTTGCTGTTTGGTGCATTAACCCAAAGCATCACACCAGGAGTCCGAGGATGGTGTTGTTGTTGTTGTTGTTGTTGTCAGGTACCACCGAGTTGGAGCTGACTCATAGAGACCCCATGTACAGCAAAACGAAACAGTGTCCGATCCTGGGCCAACCTCACTACCGCTGCCACACTTGACGCCATCAATGATGCCACCTGGCTGATCCATCTCGTTGGGGGTCTTCCTCTTTTTCTCTGACCCTCCATCTTACCCAGCATGACATCCTTCTCCAGCGACTGTTCCCTCCTGACAATATGTCCAAAGTATGAGAGACGGAGCTTAGCCATCCTGGCCTCCAAGGACACTCTGGCTGCACTTCTTCCAAAACAGATCTATTGGTTCTTTTGGAAGTCCATGGCACTTTTAGCATTCTCCTTCAACACCACAGCTCAAAGGCATAAATTCTTCTACGATCTTCCTTATTCACTGTCCAGCTTTCACATCCATAAGAGGTTATTGAAAATACCATGTCTTGGGTCAGGCGCACCTTAGTCCTCAAGCTGACATCTCTGCTCTTCAACACTTTAAAAAGTTCCTGTGCAGCAGATTTGCCCAATGCAATATGTCATCTGATCTCTTGACTACTGCTTCCACGAGTGTTGATAGTTGATCCAAGAAGAATGAAGTCCTTGACAACTTCAATCTTTTCTCTGTTGATAAGAATGTTGTTTATTGGT